GAGCCCGGGCTCCCTGGCAGAGGGCGGCCGCGCCTGCCGCCTTTCGCTGCTGGTGAAGGAGGGTTGGCGGGGAACTCCCTACTGAGGTGCTTAAGGGGGAAGACAGTTGTCGCCTTCCTGTCGTTCATCTGGCACTTAATGATTTATGGCTAGGGTTTTTTTTGGGGGGGGGGGACGGGAAGGAAGGAAGAGAAATAAAGGAGGAAAAAAAAAAATAGATAAAAGGTTTTAGTGTTGACTGCCAGGTCGGATTTTCCTGGGCTGACAAACTGCTGAGAGAAGTTCGGAGTGGAGGTTTGAAGGAGTAGGTCTCCAGAGCAATTTTAACTCAGTGGTATTACTTCCTGCAGTAACTGCGTTTTAGCGTGCTGTTCTTCTGCAGTTTGGCTTCTGTTCTTCATAGCCTGTGTCTTACCTTCTTGAACTGTTAAAAGCTCTTACCTTACTGATACACCTGTCTGAGATTCTGGTTTGAAGCTCCTCAGGAAAAGCTTGTATGCTTCTCTTTGGATTCACTTGAGGACAGAGTTGTAGAATCATAGAATCACAGATTGAAAGGGACCTCGAGGATCATCTGTCATGGTGGCCCTAAACTCATACAGCAAACTGATGGTCTGGATAGAAATATAACTCCCAAAATCCAGAGTTACTGGCCTTGAAGCACATTGCTTTGTATTAAGTTAAATGCTTGCTGGAGGAAAGCTACGTTTTCAAATTGCTTGTTATGTTGAGCATTTTTTAAATGTTCATGTGTCCATTCAACAGAAGTTCTGGTTTACCAACTTGTTGTAATCAACAAGTAAACGAAATATTTTTCAGCAACTAAAAGGAAGAGGATGTTTATGTAGTTATTTAGAGATTTTTATTTTGATTTTAATTTTCCTGGGATACATTTGTTTTTAAACCAACAATCTTCTTTATTACATTGATAACATAGTAGCTCAGTGAAACTCATTCAACTGTTTTACAGTGCATCTTGAAAGGGAAGAGAAAATGGTAACAGTATAGTTAGTGAAAATTATACGTAGAGTTTATTAATTTTAAATAGCCATAGTGATTGTTACACCAAAGGCAGACATTGTTTATCTTGTCTTTAAGTTCTGTTGCAAATCTTGTGATGTTTGTTACTTTTCCCTTTCTTTCTTCCAATAGTGGCTACTGTAAATAAGGCCGTATAGTATAAAAAGCATCTCTTCCCACAGAATTTACGGTCTAATTAGAGGAAAAAAAAAAGTTTCAGGAAAAATATTGTGAGTGAATAATAATCACAGAATCATAGAATGGTTTAGGTTGGAAAGGACCTTAAGATCGTCTAGTTCCAAACCCCCTGCCATGAGCAGGGACACCACACACTAAACTATGTCACCCAAGGCTTTGTCCAGCCTGGCCTTGAACACTGCCAGGGTTGGAGCATTCACAACTTCCTTGGGCAACCTATTCCAGTGCCTCACCACCCTCACTGTGAAGAACTTCTTCCTTACATCCAATCTAAACCTCCCCTGTTTAAGTTTAAACCCATCACCCCTTGTCCTACCACTGTAGTCCCTAAGGAAGAGTCCCTCCCCAGCATCCTTGTAGGCCCCCTTCAGATATTGGAAGGCTGCTATGAGGTCTCCACGCAGCCTTCTCTTCTCCAGGCTGAACAGCCCCAACTTTCTCAGCCTGTCTTCATACGGGAGGTGCTCCAGCCCCCTTATCATCCTCATGGCCCTCCTCTGGACTTGTCTTGTAGGTTTTGTTAGTTCTGTGTTCCATGCTTTATTTTATTGCATGTGTCTGTGGCTGCTTTTGTAAGTCTAAAAGCATACGCTTTAGTGATCTCCAAGGGATTAATAAATTTACCATGTTTAATGGAAAGGTGGTAGTTGTGTGAAAATACTTAAGTGAGAATGGACAGCCAGGAAGGCTGTTAAGTCTTTCAAGGCGGTGCATAAATCCTCCAAGCCAAAATAGTACAATCAATAGCTAAGAGTCCTGAATATACTTAGTTTGATACTTGGGCCTGAATTATTATGTATTTAATGATACATAATTTAGCATGTTTGTTTGGACTCATGTGGAATTTAGATGGAAGTTCTTTGGCAACTGTAAAGGAGACATGTCCTTGGGCCACATGGTGGGCATAGCAAAGGCAGAGAGAAACATCTGGAGGATGCAGACAGGAGCTTCAAGTGCAACATTCCTTTTGTTTTTCTGCTGAGCGAAGCTCGTCTTTTCATCCCTTGAAGGTTAGCTGCAGAAACGGAGTAATACTATTGTCCTAAAAGGACCCTATTTAAGAATGGACTTTGTTCCACTCCGCATAGTAAGTTTAATAACTCGGATCTAAATTAACCATATCAGTAGCAGAACAGTGAGTATGTATGGTTAAGGGAAAGCAATTCCAGTGTCGTAGCGCTGCAAATTTGTGAAGAGAAAGGGACTTTGGTAGGAAAAGTAGTAGCAGTATATGAGAAGAATTTAGGGCTGTATTTGAAAATAACGGGACAGTATACTGCAAAGACGCCTTCAGGTCAGGTACCATGAGTACTTGCAGGATCAGGGCCATTATTTCAGAGTGTTCTGATTGCCTGTATGAACCAGAATGAATCACTGTCATATAAATGATGAAGTGACAGATTGGTTTGTCAGGGTCTGGAAATCATGTGTTTAAGTACCTGTTCTCAGATCGAAGACCTGGTCTTGTGAAATGGGCAATGTTCCGTGGTGAAGTGATTTGTAAGGTGAATGTCTGAGTGGCTAGAATGGCCAGGAAAAGATGGGGTTGTGTACTCTACAGATTGCCATGGAAAATAAAAACCACCCAAATGCATATGAGGGTACCACTTAATAATGAAAGAAGTACTGTAGTCAAGGATATGAGTTTAAATGCTAGTAACTATGGATTTAGCAGGTAAAATAACTCTTCCTGACTAATCTCCTCAACAGTACCTTCACTATATAATTTCTTCCACAGAGCTGTACTTAGGGTATTGAATCTGTCTTAATTTATATGCTGTCAAGATTTAAACAAATAAAATAGCTTTTAGGGAAGTAGGTATTTCATTATGTATTGTGCTATTCTTTGTGTGGCAGATGTATTAACTTAAAAAAAAAAAAAAAAGCAATAGTACTATTATGTTGAGCCACTGTTGTTCTGAGACAAAGTCATGTAACGGTTTAAAAATACAGTCATTATTATGTTCTTTACTTAATATTAGGTGGACTCGATTTTGTTCTCTCACTTCTTCTTTTTGCACAATTAATTTGGTCCAGGGATAGATGATATCAAATAGTAAATTTGAGGTACACATCTTATGTGGAGGAAAAAAAAAATAAAAATCCAATAATCTGGATCTAGCAGATGAAAATTTTTTTTTTTTTGCTTTTTAAATAATTACATCATATTCATGTAACTGTACAAAGACCTTATTAATCTAGACAGTTATTTAGAAGATTGATGCTGTTCCAATGTCACTTGTGAATTTTATATATGTATATCTATGCATCTAAAAACCCATACATTTCTTTCTATTGTAATAAAACTTTTTTCTATAATTACTGTTTTAAGAGTGCCATCTAGTGTCTAACACTTTCAAATACCAGTTGTGATTTATAAGTTAATGGGCAATTGTATTGATGGAACAGAAAAATCATTGCATCATTGTTACAAACTGGTATGGAATCATTTAATAGGAAAAATGGAATTTTCAACCAAGTATAACAGAAATGAGTTTAAGTTTTTAATATAATGAGAAGACACTAATTTCAGGTATGTTACTGTTGCGTTTAACTGCTTTAAAGCAATTGTGTGTTTGAGGTGTTCATGTAGCATTCTTCTAATGAACAGGCTTTTTCTTCATATGTGTTCTCTTGACCTGAAATGAGTATGTCACCAGGCTCTAGATTAATATAGAAACCAATTATTATTTCCCATGGCCTAAATACCCTGTATATGTGAATTCTAACAGTTACAAGAACAGAAAGAGAAATGTTTGTATTAGGAAACTGACCATTGTAGATATGTGCTCAGGAACATTTTTTCCAATAATGGGTGATTAATGTTGTGGGAGATTGTTCATTTGAAAAAAAAAGACAAAACAAAACAAAAATCCCTTGCTATAAAATATTTATATGCTAAAAAAAAAAAGAAAAAAAAAAGGAAATGTTCTGAATATTTTGTTTAATGTCAGAAATACTCTAAAATATAAAAAGAAGTTTTACACAGATCATTTGTCTATCAGTGATTTATATGTGAAGAGACAGTTTATATGTGAAGCCATTCTTTTCTCTCAGAAAGAGCCTGCAGTCTACTTACTCAGGCAGGATGTCTTTAATAGTGCCTTATGTTAAAACCAGGTTTAGCAGATGGTGATAGGACCACTGTTTCAAACCTCTTTTTTTTTTTTTTTGTTCTGAATTCTGTATTCTTTTATGAATAGTGTGTTCTGATTTCTATTTCAGGAACTTCAGTTCAGGAGGAAGATGAGAGATAGTGTCACTGAAGAACACCTATATTTGAGTTTTTCTCATCAGTATAGAGATAGTATCTTTCCTCTTCATACATCTGTTTCACTGTTTTTGCTATCCTACTGTGACTGCAAGTTATTCAAAATTTTCTTAGTGCCGACTGGTGAAGATGTGGATGATCAGTTTGTGACAAAAAACCTCCTTGGCGATCTTGAGGTCCATTTAATCTCCAGAAGTGAGCTTCCAGTGGTTGTGCAGAACTGTTGTTTACCTGCTGTTGTTGTGAAGGATGGAAAGTTCTGCCGAGCTGGGCTTTCTGTTGTCTTAAGGCATGTAATACAGAAAACATACGACGCAGATCCATCTAGAAAGGATGTTTTGGAACTATTAGGCTTTAAGAAGACCTGCTTAAAAGCCTGTGCTGAAGTAAGTGCATCTGTCTTTTAGATACATGAATAGGATTTTTAATAAGCATTAAATACTCTTAAGTGGGCTTTTAATGTTGATGTAAACTGAGTTCTTTTAGTAAGAAACTTCATTTGCTTAGAAATGGAAATTTCCTTAATGGAGAAATATCTATATTTTGGCATAAAGAAGAAAAAGAATTCTTTTTAAAGTTACTACTTTTTAGCAGCACAAAAAGAACACTGAAATTAAAAAAATAGGTCAGATCTTTGTTTCATCTGCAGTGTAGTTTCAATGAGTTATAAAGTACAGCTTTTGCAGTTTGAAGGAAACCAGGAAGCACCTGATTTATTGTGAATTTTGATTTCCAGAGCACTGTAAACTGTTAGCTTTCATCACTGCCAAGGTGCTGGCTTATGTTTAGCTTACGGTCACCAAGATGTTCAGGTTCTTTTCAGCAGAGCTGCTACGCGGCAGGTAGTCGATCCCTAGCCTGTGCCATTATGGGGGTTGTGTTCATCCTGGGTGCAGGATGTTTCATGTTAGTTCCTGTCAGCCTATGCAGGTCCCTGTGGATGGCAGCTTGTTCTTGGAGTTTGTTGACTGCTCTGCTTAACTCACCGTCATCTTTGTGAGTGTATTCCATCTGCCCCTCAGGTCATTGTTAAAGAAACTTAAATAGGATAGGCCTCAGCGTAGGTCCCTAAAGAGCTCCACTTCTAAGTGTCATTCAGGTAGAGTGCGAGACATTAACCACTACTACCCCATGTGTTGATGTTTCAGCCCATTTATCTGTAGCATTTACTCATCTCGCAGTTCATCCACCTAGACTTGCCCTCCTAACTCCTCTCAGGAGGTCGAACTCCACTATTTCATGATCACTACATCTATGGTTGCCACTGCTTAGTGTGTCGCCAACTCAGTTCATCTTTGTTGGTGCGTAGCCGGTGTGGGGAAGCATATCCCTGTGTTAGTCCATCTAGTACTTGGAACTGCTGGAAAACTTGATTCCATATTTCAGATGGCTGCAAAGTGAGCAAACTAAGTAAGAAAAGACAAGAATTTAAAAGTTTGAAAAGCTTTAAGTATAGGTAATAAGAAAAATAGGACAAGAAACTGTAACATGAAAAAATTAAGTTTTTTTAAGGTGCTATTTGGTTAGAATAAAATTTTTTGATGTGTGCTGGAAAATCTGTAATAATTTATTTCTGTAAAGTAAATGTGCTCAAAATCTGCTTGGTGCAATCTAGTTTTATTACCAGCACTTGGTAGAGATGAGATATGTAAGTTGGTCACAGCTTTCCTTCTCATGAGTTATGCAGCCACCCTAATCTTACACCAATAATAAGGCATAAAAATATGCAATTCTGGATGACTGTTCATTCTGTCATATATAAAATTTAGCCTCCTAATTCTGCTATTGCAAAAATAATACAGAATATCTGAGTTTCTAAGATTGTGAAAGAATGTATTTAAATATGGAATTTCTTTGCTTAAAGTGGATAGAAAGGTACTTTGGATTTTGTTTCTCCTTCTGTAGAGACATTAATTACATAAATTTATCTGATAGGTTAGCCAGTGGACCAGACTCTGTGAGATCAGCATACCTCTGGCTGTTGAAGAATTTTTGACGGCATCTCCTGATCACTGTAAGACTATTCCTTCTGCCATTTTACAGCTTGAAAGGAAGCTTGGAGAACCTGTCCGAGTACATAATGATGACAAAATTCGAAGGCAAAAACTTCAACAACAAAAGGCTGCAGTGCCTCTGCTTGCTAAAGCAGCAGCAGCAGAAGGAAAACCAGTGGAAGTGCATGAACATCCACTCCCAACTTTGGAACTGAGCATAGCTTTCTCCAAGCTACTTGTCCAGGAAGCATCAGATGCAGTCAGTAGGGAGGCCCCTCACATCAGGAGAACAAAAACCTCAGACCTTCCACTTTTGGACCACGTTTTTGCAGAAGGGCTTTATTTTACTGTGGCAGACATCGTGCTTTTGCCATGCATCCATCAGTTCTTGGTGAGATACAAGTTCTGCAAATACTAAGTTGTAGATATGTAATTTTTTTTTTTTTAAATTGTGAAGTTGTAAAATATGTTAATTTAAAACATATCATGTTTGCAATGTGAACTTAACTCAAAAGAGAAGGTTTGTCTTTGTTTCTTTATGAAGGGATTGGCGAGATCACCAAAATTGCTTTTAAATACATAGCGTGTCAATAGTGGGAAAACACTAATAACTGCTAAAATACTATGCTGAAATGTTTTGGTACCAAGCTGCCCAGTAAATTTCTCCATGAAAATACTTAAAACAGCTATTGAAGTACATTCTGATGTTCATATAGCAATAATAGATAATAATATTTTTTTTCAAATTTGGTGTACCAGATTTATGACCATGACTCAATGACTGTTTACTAAAATGAGACCATTTTATGCATTAGGAATTTTTTGAGATTTGAAATTTTGATTCCATCAAAAATTGCAAATTTTAAAACAAGGGAGAGTTGAGAGTGGTATAATAATTGCAAAATACAGGAAGGGATGTTCCTCCTGAGAAATTTAAAACGGACACTTAAAGTATGTTGTAATATACATAGAAAAAAAGTAGGAAATAATGAACCTATTTTCAGTTTTGGTTTCAGCGTACTGGGGGACAAGGCAAAATGAATTCCTACCGAGTTTGTTGTACTTCTACTGTGTGCATGTTATCTGAATTGGAATTCTTTTCAGCAAAGATTTGAAACTTTATGTGACTGTATCTGACTTCTATTTTAACTTTTAAGCAGATATGCCTCAAAGAAAACAGAGGTCTTCTAAGAAAGTAAGAATGCTTTTTTAGGGAGGCAGTGAATGGAAAGAGATTGGGGACTATGGTGGCTTTTCAGAGGTGTAAATCCTTGACTTTCCTTACCCACACTAGAGCCAAAGAGGTACTTGGGTATCGACTAGGGGAAGACTTCTAAAAGCACATTCATTTATGCTCTGGTATATAATTTCTTGAGATTCTCTTTAGAATTTTTTGTCTACTATTCTTTCCTTTTAAAATACAGTGGGCTATGACTTCCAATTTGCTCATTTCTCTTCATAATAGGTAAATTATTCTTTATCTCTGCTGTTCTTTTCTTTTTATTCCTAGAAATGACTTTTTTGTTTGGGAGGAAACATTCCTGTGTAGCCAACCCAGCTTTTTATCAAGCCCTCCTACAAAATAAGGCAGTTTTGTTGCACATGTGGAGGTAAATTGGGTGCCTAGGGCAGCATAGTACCAACATATCAGCAGACCTTTTATTCTTCTGTGCAGTTTTGTTTTTACAAAACTTAATCTGTATTCTTCAAGCAAGCACTGATCACTGTGAGCCCGCTTGGAAATGAGATGGAGTGTCTAGGGAGCCAGCTTTGTTGGGATGTGCTTCAGCCCCTGAAACTTCAGTAATCTGTAGGTTGGTCATTCATAGTATTGTTGCTAGTAAACTGTTTTCCACAGTTTGTGGAAGGTCCTTTGTTTACTGCAGTGAAAGGAGAAGTTTCTTGGGAAAAGTTATGTTGCTAGAAGCTCTTGGATTGAAGTTTATAACCGAAAAGTTATAATTCTCCTTGCAGTCCTATGAGATTCACTGCTTATTTTTTTTAATTTCTAATAGAATCCTGTGTTACCTGTACACTAATAGAAAGTCCACACTTTACGTAGAACATCTGTATATGAAGGAATTTGAAACCTTCCAAGAGTTTCATGAAGATAAAACTGAAAAAGCACCGACATAGGTGGCAGTCAGGGCACCACAGTGATAGTGGAAAACAGGAGAAGAAATCTTTGCTCTCAATGCAGAATGGCATTACAGAAACACTGTTGGAAGTGGCAGTTCTTGCACTCCAGTATGCAGTTTGCCAGCTATTGGTCATGTTGACTGTTCAGTTGAATCAGTAAGGTCCTCATGTATCTGTACCTTTAGATTAATGATCTGTTAAAAGCTTATTTCACCCCTTTTCTAGGGGAAAGCCATAGTCACTTGTTATTGCATCATTTGTGATGTATCTCTCCTTGTACAAAGTTTGTATGTGCCTTAGAAGGAGACTGTATGTGCGTTGGTGGTTGCTTTTTTGTAGTACTTACCTAGTAAGTGCCAGTGTCTTGCAGATTCTGTTGTACAAATATCTTAAATTGGTAACATGTGGAATAGGAAAATATATCAAAATATGTATTGAGCCTAATAAAGCCATGCAGTTTGATTTTTTTTTTAATTTTTTTATTTACTTAAAACCAAAACAAAATACCCCAATGGCCCCTGCACCCCTTATCTCCCTCTACCTTTTTCATACCTCTGGAAAGAGGTAGTACTTAGTAGTACAACTGACTTGAGCTCAGCTTCAAAACAAGTTTTACAGTGGGAAAAAATTCTGTGGCAAGACTGTGAGAGTCTTGCTCAGCACAATATGTGTACTTAGTTTTATGAGGATGTATACATAGAAAAGAGTTAAGGACGTGACAACTCTGTCTTTATTTCCCATGACAATAAAATGAAATAAGTTTGCCTACTACCAGTATTCCTGCAGTTCCTCTATGAGATTGATAGTTAAGCTAGTGTCTGTTGCCAGGAAAAGCTCCCGAGTGAAGTTGGCATTTGCATTTGATTTTGCAAGTTTATTTGCCAAATTTGCCTTATGGTGTTTGAAAACAAATAGAATTCCTAGGGAAGATTCTGTCAGTCAGATTTAGAGAAATAATTTTTTAAATCAAGATAACTTCTAGCAAACTTTGATATTTGACAAATGTCTGATTTATCACTTCTTTAACCAAGATGATGTCCTCAGTGGATTTCTGTATGATGATAGCAATATGGGAGTCCAGAAGTAGGTTAATATGGCTACCTTTGAGTTGAGATGCTTAATCTCTGCTTTATTTGTTGCAAATAACGTAACAGCAACTTCTGAATGGATCATACTAAACAAAACCAGTAAGTCAAAATACTTTCCTACTGTTTTAAGAACTTTAATGTATTCCAGTTGTCTTTATTTTTCCAAAGCCTTTTTAGAAAGAAGAGCATATTACTTTTGTGGAAGTGTTCAAACACTGTGTAGATGAGGCCCTTAGTGACATGGTTTAGTGGTGGACTTAGCAGTCCTGGGGTAATGGTTGGACTTGATCTTAAAGGTCTTTTCCAACCTAGTTGATTCTGTGATTCTATATACCATCAGCAGCTGAGAATACTGTATTTATTTGTTTTTCATGAGTGACCCTTGAGCCCTGGTGGTCTGCAGCTTATGATCTACATTTTGTATAATACATGTGTGTTACCCTGTACCAAGGATTGTCCCAAAAAATAGGCCTTCAGTTTCATTTTAACCAGAATTATAAGAGCTCTGGAATAATGTTACGTTATTTCTGTTCGCTGGTAAATTACTGTCTTATAAGCAATTATACCTTGACTCCTCCAGTTATAACCAAAATTAGATAACTTGCATCTGAAAGCTTCTCACAGGCAGTCATTTGAAACTGCAACTGCTCTTGTTGATGGAAGTACTGGAGTTCAATTCTGTATTAAAATGTTATTTGTCACTTACATAACAGAACTTCTTGGATTGTTTAAATAAAATCATTGTAGTTGCAGTTCCTCTTCGCTTTAAGGGTGTGAATAATAATGAATTCTTCAATGGGTATGTGTCTGGAAAGTATCATACAATAAATATGAGGAGACCTGTCTAGCAGATTGTAGTGGTAATTACCAAAAGTAAGATAATGAAGCTGAAGAGTTGTTTTTCATTACCTCATTCCATTTCTGTTATCTGTCTGAGGTTAGCTTTGTTACACTTTCTATTAGTTGTAACTGTTTAAAATTAATGGAAGAATAACAAAAGCTTCGTTCTCCATCTGGGAGAAACCACTATTCACTTTTTGAAATACAATTTAGAACACTTGTTATCAAGTGTAACAGTGCCTCTTAGAATTGCTTTCCAAAAGACTTCTTCCTTAACTGAATTAATGTATTTCTGCCTGTGTTACTATTAGGATATTGGACAGTAAAATTACCCAGTTCATCCTCCTTTGGCTCCTGTAGCTGTTACTAATTACTTGTGATTACCCTAAGAACATTATAGACACAGCATGCAAGAAAGCTTCTTGAAATCTTACATCATTTCAAGTGTTCTTTACCAATTTCCACTTTCACACTGAGGACAGATACGTGGAGGAGCACTGCTTTCATACGGCCTTTTCTGCCTTTTCCTGTAATGGTGATTTTTAATTTTCTGCTTAAAGCAGACACAGCATCACAGAATAGTTGAGGTTGGAGGGTGCCTCTGGAGATCATTTTGTCTAACCCTCCTGTTCAGAGTAGGGTCAGCTAAAGCCACTTGCCTACGGCCGTGTCCAATCAGGTTTTGAGTGACTTTAAGGATACTACATAGCCTTTCCGGTACAAGGATGTTCTTCACCATTCCAAACATTTGGGAACCTGAACAAAAATTGTATAAGTTCATCCCATGCATCCTTTTTAAAATTAGCTAGTCTTGATCTAAAAATATGATTTGGGTATTGCAAGTTTGTTTGTTTGGTTTTTTTTTTTACACTTAAAATTCTATTTCTGTTGAAGGCCACTTCATCTCACCATCATATATACTTTATTCAGAAAAGAAATATATTAGTTACCAATTTTGTGTATGAAGTTAAGATGGTAAAGAAGTTTGAGTAAATGTATGACCTAAATAAAAAGTTTTGGGTTCAGTGCTAGCAAAGACTTCCATTGACTTCCATAAAGACCAGGGACAATGTACGCCAGTGCCTGTTGTGCTGGCATACACATAGTCATAGGCGTTTAAGGTTGGGTTGACAGCAAAATAGCTGTCAGTGGATGAGCTTTTAAGGGCTGCAGGGTGCCTGTGGCAAACAGCAGCATTCACGTACCATAATGTCTTGCATAGAGTTCAGTATTTGTTGCAAATTACTGTTTGGTGTTTTGTTTTATTCTTTTGGTTTTGGTTGGTGTGGGTTTTTTGTTTGTTTGTTTGGTGTTTTGGGTGTGGTGTTTTGTGTTTTGGTTTTTTTTTTTTTTTTTTTTTTTTGTGTTTACCAACAAAAATGAATTATTCCCTCCCTAGGAAATAGCAGATAATTAAGAATATTATTTAAATAGTGTTTTTCTGTTACTGATTGAAATTACGATAAAAATTGGTCATGTAAACCTTTCTGTCCTATGAAGCAAATGGCAGTTGCAGATAAAGTCTAAATAGCCAACTGGCAATACCACCTGCAGGCCTGAGCTCTTAACTAACTAGCTTTTTGCATTACCATCTTGCTATGTGTCAGCATGCTTGGCATAGGGCCGAGCTCACTTTTGTAGTTCATGCCTTCTTGTGCCTTTTAAGAAGTTTACAGTAGCAAGTAACCTTTCGATTTTATTTTTCTAGGTTTCCTGCAAAACCCAAGGCAAAAATCTGTTAAATTTGCCTCTGATATCCAGCTGGTATCGAAGAGTTCAAGAAGTACCTGGAGTAAAGAAAGCTGCTGGCAAATGCAATATGGAGTTTCTCCAGCTTCCAGAGTTGATGTCTGCTTCAGAGGAACAGTTGCAAGACTTCTCTTCAGTTCCTGATGAATCAGAAGAGGAGAATGAAGACAGTCATTTTATAGGTGGTCCAAGGCCAACTATGACGAAGTTAATGGTAAGTTTTGCTTTTTAATGAGTTTTTTAATAGTAGCAGTCTGCTTAATTTGGAATAGGTGAAATTTATTAGAATTGCAGAAGCAAAGTCTGATGGCCATGAACAGTTTAATACGTTTTGCCTGTCTTCTGCCTGATATGCATTGATTTAGAAGGGATTTTACGTTTTTGTTCTGATAATCAGTTCAGGAAAGACAGGACCACTGGAAACCCTATCACTAACTCTGAATAATCAAAGTAACTTGTTGTTTGAATTGCAGTATTATATTCCTCATTTTAAGTTATTTATATAACTGATGACAAAACCCATTGCTTCTGTGTTTGGCCTCATTATTCTATCATTTCTGTTGGGTTTTTGCTGTCTGATTAGAGCTTTGAACATCTGTGAATCCTGGTAAGTTTTGTTAAAGAAAACCCTCCGTCATGTTCCATAACTCTCAATATTTTTTTTTTTTTAATAGAGGCTGACAGCATTTCCTAAAGAAAATTAACAGAGCTTTCTTGGGAAAATGAAAAAAATACGTAATTTGAATCCAGTATACTGTAGAGTCCGCTGCCTGTTCAGTTTCAGTTAGGCTGAAAGTTAATTGCGCCGTTTTATCCGATGCCATTAAATTCAGTAGGAATTTTGCTGCCAACTTTGGTGCGTAAAGGATCAGTGTCTTAAGTCCTCCCCCTGCCCCGCTTTTTCTCATAGGAGAATGGTGTCGAAGCAAAGTTTGCTCCTCATCCATGCCCCAGTTGGACCCTAGACTGGACCCATCTACCACCTGCAGTCAGTCCTGGAGAAGGTAAGGGGTTTTATATATGTGGTATGTATTTAACAGTGTTGCCTTCTGGTGAAGCTACTTGATTGTTTGTAGGAAGATACATCACTTTTCACTGTATTCCAGAGCTAGGTAAAACAGGTAAGCAGTTTTAAATCTGTTCTAAAATTCAGTCTGTTTGGGACACCTGGTGAGGTGACTTCCCTCAGGTCATCAACAGCTGATAGCCAAACTGGGAATAAAAGCTTGACCTTGTTCCTGAACCATATTTTATCCCACTGTATCCTTCTTTCCTGAACTTATCTTCATATAAAACAGTAAATTCTGGCTAAATGATGTTAATATAATTGGCACAAATATTGTACTGTGTCTCCCAAAGCAGCAGCAGCTGATTTATTCTGATGAAAATAATATTCATTAGCAAAGTTTGGTAATTGCATATAAGCGAGTCTTTCCCTTTGTGGCAGTGTTCCCTACCCTGTAGCGTTTGTTTGTTTTGCTGGATTGCTGGGCAGTTTGTTGCCTAGTGGCTGTAATTCTACAGAGAAAAAAATGGTTTATCACAACGTTTATTGTTTTCATTAGCATTGTGAATGTTGAATACCTCTTCTACTACACAGTTGAGATTCCTCTAAAAGTTCTTATACATACTGTCAGACAGTAAGAAGTTAGTGGATGATAACTCCTTCCTACAGGGAACAAAAAAGTTTGTGTTCTTTGTGTAAATAGCACAACTTAGATACTGGAGTTCAGTCTAGTACTGAACTCCATAGTACTTCTGGCTTTATGGAAATATACATGCAACATACAGATGCTCTTCAATGACCAGTATGTTGTATAATACCTAACTGTGTGAATACAAGCATATATTTCTATCTACAATACACAGGCTATAAAAATAAGATTAAATTTGAAGTTGGTTTTCTCTGGTTTGGATCTGAGTAGTGCACAAAACCCTGATGTGTACAATGAGACTTATAGTTTCATACAGTGTCCATCCTTCTAACATTAACTGTTTTCCTCTGGTTTTGTCTTGAGAGAACCCTTACTGGAAAGTTGCACACCCTTCTTCAATTATAGATCCTTTCTTTCCTTTTGCATGAAAGGAAGATAAAAAAACAAAACTTGGGTTTGCATCTGTCAGCATTACATCATGCTTCTTTAGACTTTATGTGAATGTTTTGGATATGCTTGTTATGTTAAAATAGCTCCATAGTCTGAATGCTGAAATGCTTAGAGGGAGGATTTAACTTCTGTGACAAGTTCCAGTGTTTTGTTGGAAGTGAATAAACATTTTTGCTTGTTTCCAATGCTCAGGGTTTTGGCTGTAAATTTTAGTTCATACTTTTGGCAAGATATCGCTTCTATTTGAAAGAAAATTTTGAAAAAGATGCATAACATACAAAATCATATATCAAATGTATATTTGGAAATTTTGTGCTGGAAAGACTAGATTTGACTAGGGCAACAATCAAGTCCTCCTGTTTCCTGCCTGCGTCTGTGCATGCTTGCTCCCTTTTCACATTTGCTGAAGTAGTTACTATTGATGTCAATATCTGAAATTAGGTTTCAGTTAAATTTTGGGGAAGAATTTGCTAGCTCAGCACGTGCTGAGAGACAGATTTTGCATCTCTTCATCCAAGATCAGAGTAATCTGATGCCATTGGAGGTTTAGGGAACCTCCAAATGGTTGTGGTTTTAGTCCAGGAGCAAGAGAGTCACAGAGGACAAAAAGAAATTTCCTGATATGAGAATTGATTTTGCTTTTCAGTTGGATACATCTGCATGCTTACCTCTGCTGTTCTAAGTGGTACTGTTCTTAGTTTCCTGATTCTTTTGCTAGTACAGCCTACTTGTTGTTTGAATTGAATTTCCAATATTTTACTACTAAATCCTACCTGGCATGATAAGAAAAGTCACTGAATCTGACAGGGTTTTAAACTAGATTTGAGTAATGAAATTCAAGCTTTCAAACACATTACTCCTATAACTTGTAAATAAATTTCCTCTTACTAATGTTCACAGCAGTTGAGACGAAGTGGAGAATGTTTCAGTTAAAACTCGCTTTGGTTCTTTATCCAATTTAATTTGCTGGGAAATCCTAATTTAATAGCATACGTGATATAGTTTATTTGCTCTATCTCAGCTTAGATAACTCAGAATTTATGGTAGATGTATGTGGAAGTTCTGGGATTGATTCTGCTGGAGTCATGTTTACATTTAGAAGTAAAAGGAGATGAGGTTGTGAATATGTACAGACAGTAGAAGAAGAGTGTGGCAGGTAAGAATATAAAAGTGTAGGTGGTCAGAATGTGAGACTGAAGGGAAATGAGATCCTTGCATCAGTACTACAGAGAAATAATCACGTGGTATAAGTCATATAGAATATGTTTTCATTTTTTCCCAGACAAGATAGTGGCTGAAGTTAAGGGAATAGGGGCTTGTAATGCTGAATGGAAATTGTGTGCTACTGCTGATTAAACCTGAGGTCTTAGAAAAGGGAGGTTTATTTATTTAGATTTGTGGCCAACAAAGAAATGGGGCTGTGGTTTCATAGTTCATATTAGGCAGCAGTAGAAAATGATTTTTTATTTTTTTTTAAATCCTTTTGGAACTTCAGTCAACCCTGGAGTTTTTGCTTGTGTTCTTCATCTTGTGTATGTATGCAACCATTCCTTGTCTTCAGGTTAATTTCCTATTCACTGCAAAGACTTTGTAGATACCAAGATCAGTTCGACTGGTTATGATCAGAGGTCCTTCCTTTGGGCTCACAAAAGGCACATTAAGGGGAGAGGGAAAGTGAATGTTTGTGGGGTTGGAGAGTGATAACCCTTGTTGCGGCTTTATTATTCTGATGATATATGGGGATGTAAGTCTTTGGTACTGTCCTTTTTTCATCAAGCATTGTGTTCACTGCGAAACAAAAGGAGAAAGGTTATTTTTTTTTTTTAACAGGAATCTGTTTTTTTCTTTAAAACAGCAACTGTGAAATGTGAGAATAGGAAGTAACAGACCCACAGTCTCACAAACCCTTACTTCTGTTCTCATGAGGTGAAATACTTGTTAAGCAGGAAGTACTTGAAAGAAGAAAAGTGCTTTACTTGCGGTATCTCATTCTGAAATCACTAGCTAGCCTGACAAAGTGTGCATGTGATGGGATTTATTTAAAAAGGCAGTGGTTAACTTACACTGTTCTTTCCAAAATGGGAAACTGCTCACAGAATGAATGTAGCTTGTAAGTAATGCCCTTATTCCTCATAAAAATATTTTTTTCTTAAATGAAGGAATTGTAGTAGACCAGAAAAGAGTGCCTTAGCTGAAATATAGCTTACTGACAGGTGAATGTGGGAAGACTACTATAATAAAAACTAGGAGTGCATGCACAGTAGGAGATAGGAGTTTGAGGTAGATGTCAGCTTAAAACTTGTAGGCAAATATATAAAACTAGATCAAAATAAACGAATGCATTTTACAAGTGCAGCTTGCTTTTAAACAATTAATAGAAGACACATAGCCCTTTAACATTGTAGATGGTCCTATTCATAGGGCTGATTTCTCCAAAACAAGTGCATTTTAATGGATTATGTATAAACATGACTCCCATGGAGCATGTCAAGTATTTTATATGCTTTATTATTCTTAGTGAGAAAATGATTCCTCGTATTGAATTGACTGGATCAAGGATTTGACTTGAGGAGGTGAAATTTTCCATGTATGAATTTAAAAAAGCCGGAAGGGAAAAAGAAAAGCACTTTCACGTCTTTTGCTTCGAGCACACAGGTGTAAGAATGGGTGTTAATCTGTTGCAAGGCAATGAATGCCTGCCTAGCTGAAGACAGAATGACTCTGATTGAGTTTGATTTATGCTTGCTTTGTGATCAGTAGCAAGTTGATGGCCAAATTAAATGACTATATAAAACTGTCACAGAAAGGTTATCCTGAATAGAACGAGACCCTGATTGATACTTGCCTCTTGTTTCCATTCAAGTCTTCAGACTTATGAGATGAGAATGCTTGGCTTTTGAAACAAGACAAAATTTGGAAATCTAAACATTCACAGTTGAGCCATAAGGTTGTCCTTTAAATGGTTGTTGAGATTCGTTACCTTGATTTCTAAGGCATAGAATAATTCATAATATACTGTAAATGGTTTCTTGGTGGTGGGGGGTAGGGGTGGCTTTTTGTTGTTGGTTTTGGGTGTTTTGGGTTGTTTTTTTTAAGGTGGGTGTGGGAAAGAAGCAGGAAATAGAGCTATATAATATTTGAAAGATTGCCTTTATGTCTTCTTTTCCTAAATAACTTGTGTCAGCTGAGAATTTGACCTTCAGTGTTTTTTAATTTTTTGAGAGGCTTGCTTTTATAAATAGGAGTGTTTTGATATATGCATGAATATGAATCTTACTAAAGATGCCATCTTCAGTTACTTATGTACATACAGAGTACAGAATGTTGACATTAGAAATAGAGAGCTTGTCCGATTTGCAGAAAGAATGGTGACATGAGGATAAAGCTCTTCTTACTGTGACACCTTTCTTTATGTTTGGTAGTGGTGGTAATTTTTCCCTAAAGGAAATGCTACATTTTGGGGATTGAGATATTGTTTCAGTTGGCAAAAACATAGGTGCAGCTGCTTGAACATAATTTCTGATGACTGGCTATCTCAAATCACGCAATGTGATAAGAAATTATGAGTAAGTCTAATATGTGGCTTTGAGAATCGACATCACAATATGTATGGCCAGATGAAGGACGGAAAATTTAACATTATTTTTAAATAAACTGCTTATGAATTAAGAATATGGAAAGATGGACATTTTCACCATCTTTGTGTTTCACTCTTGATGGAATATGTCTGTAGAGGTGTTTGTCACAATGTCTTACTCTCTTTGAAAATACATCACTGAAACCCCAAAACTTGCTTTCCTGTAGGAGGATCTTTGTGTTCCACAATTGTCACACCGAGCTAATGCTAATGTTTTCTTTGTAACATTAATTATTTGCAAACCAGGTTTTGGTTTTAACCT